CTTCCACTTTGTTCTTCCTCTTCGGTAATACTTTACTTATCTGGGGCCTCGTCTCTTTCCATATTAAGTTGGTGATTTGTTTCTCCATCTCCTTAATAAATGCCATTGGATTTTGGATTGGGATTGCATTGTATCTGTAGATCGCTTTGGTAGAATTGACATTTTCACAATGTTGGGTCTTCCTATTAAAGGATTTCTTTTTGATTAACGTACTGAGTAGAATTGTAGCATATGGCTGTGTCCAAGGGTTCTGAGTTGGTAGCTGAAATCCAGCTTGTGCTCCACTTGTTTTGATGTTGCAGGGTGGTCAGCTTAGAGGAAGGGGTGCTGCTTTCTAATTGATTTGATCAGAAGTGGCACTTTACTTGTGATGTTAGATATGTGAGTGGGTGCTTTGATTTGTAATATATTCTAATCCAGGTTTAAATAAATAATTTTTGCCTATAATGAGAAGCTTTTTGTTAACATGAATGTCATTAATTTTAGACCTAGATCTGAACCATTTCTCCTTTGATAAACTTGAAAACATAAATATTCATAGGTATTAAAACATAGTATGCTTCTCAGCCTTGCTCATAAACCCTTATGTTTTTAAAACTATTTAGTATGTGTTCACTTTTGTGGACTGTTACTAACTACTTATTTTATATGTGTATATTTGCTTAACAGGCTGTTTACAAAAATTATAGGCACTTAAAAACTTTTCTAGTATTATATCAATAAATTTATTTATAATACTAAGGAAATGAATAAAATGTCAAATTTGTTTTATTATCAGTAGGTAATCTGTTACAGGTAGTCTTTTATTTATGAGAAGAAATGTATCTGTTGCTTTTAAAGTGTAATTTCCTCATTTAAGAACCAGTGTTTCAACTTCCCCTTTAATAATGACTTTGCAAAAGTCGTCAAGTGTGTTACTACACCAGGGTATTCAGTTTCCATAGTTTTACCCTAAGAATCCACACTAATTACTAAGCATATATGCTGTTTGCAAAGTTGCTTTGACTTACATAATTTAGCACTGTTGTGTAGTTACTTCCTATGAGGGATGTTTCTTGCTTTCAAAAAATAAAGGTGTTCCCAATACAATTCTAAAATTGCCTCTACATTCTTTTATATGATACCTTTTCTTTAAATCTGTTTTTGGTATTACTTAAGACACCTTATGAAACAACAACAAAAAAATTTTTTTAAAATTCTATTTCTTTACTAATAAGAGCTTTTTTTAAAATTCTATTTCTTTACTAATAAGAGCTTTTTTTAAAATTCTATTTCTTTACTAATAAGAGCTTCTTAAAGTTGATATGTAATTTCGTTAAGATTCTGACATATTGTCTTCCAAGAAGGAGAGTTGATATAAAAAAATACAAGTTAGAACTTAAAAAGTATACTTTCTTCCTTCATGATTCCAGATAAGGGAAATGAAAATTTACACCATTTTCTGGTACAGAATGTTCCAAAAGACTTAGCTGCTCACAATTCCCAGTTAGACTCAGTTCTTAGCCTTTGCGATGACAATAATTTTATGGTCAGAAATAATGAATATGTTTGTATGCTGAGTTGAATGGCCAAGACCAAGATTTATGGTGAAAGTATTGTGGAAGAAAAAAAGAAAGCTATGAAAATATGCTGGTTTAAAATGTTTAAATTAATATTTCTACCCCTCTTTACCCACCAAAGATTTGAAGTAGCAGCACTAGTTAGAATTCTAGAGACTATTTGAATATAGGAAAAGAAACTGATGCTTCAGGAACTTCCTCCTATCTTTTAAAGCCCTGTAATTTTAAGTGTGATAAATAATGTTGTGAAATAATTACTTTGTTTACATTCTAGAAGTATATCATAGGTATTCTGTAAGGAGTGATGTTCCTCCAGGCAGTCATCTTTATTTCTATTAGATTATATATTTCTTGTGGATGAGAAATCATCATTGTATCGTCCATAGCACAGCATATATATTTGTTTACAAAATAATCATTACAACAAAATATTGTTTGAATTTTTCCTGTTCATTATATAATAAAAATTAATTCAATAATTTATTTTAAATGAAAGCTACAGAATAGAGTCTTGCCTTTAAGAATTATTTATTCAAATATTTTTCTGATTTAATATTGGATTATGAAGTAATAATTTGCATCCAATAGTAAATAAATGTTTTAGTTCCTACCATATGCCTGTATCATGTTAGATGCTGTTAAGATTATTAAAGAATAAATGCTATCACCTTCTGTATCCAAGAAGCTTCCTTCTTGTTGGGGAGCCAGGACATTGAGTAGTGGATAATAAGAGGTTAGAGAGAGAGTTGAATGGTGAGTTGAGGAGGGGAACTATCTTATTTTGTACAGAGTTTATAAGAAGTACAGGAAAGATTCCATGAAGTAAATTACTTCTAAAGAATGGATGATATCGTTATACCTGTATTTCTCTGGAATGTACCAGTTTTATGAATCTCCTTTCAAATCACAAATATTTCTAGGAGTGATCATACATACCTCATGTCTGTATCTATAGCTGACACATAAATTGTTAGGCAGTAACTTAACAGGCAGCAGAGAAAAAAGAGTAGGTGTTAGGATGAGGAACAGGTAAAGAAGAAGGGGCTGCCAGTGGGATTACATAATTTTGCTAGGCTGTGTTGTTAAAAATCATTGTGTGAAATGTAGGTTGCTGGCCACTCTTGCACAGACTCAAAATTTAGGTAGTTGGAAGAAGAAACCAAAGCATAAAAGATCCAAAAGGAAACCCAGATAACCAACCAATTAGAATTGTTTCTAAAATAAATTGTAGCAAACTTCATTGTCTGGACTTCCTCTGAAAGTACACACAGTAAACTCTGAATATCCATCTGATCTAATTGTTATGTGTTTGAGAGGGCCAGGATGTACATTATTTTATAATGTCAAATGGAAAACAAGTTAAAAAATCCATAATGAGCAAACTAGAAAATCATTATAGGTTTTGGCTATTTACTCTAAGGACAGATAGCCTGGTAGAACTGGTAACTCCTAGATGTGTCTTTATGTTACAGCTAAAAATATAATGATATATGTTCTGAGGATATTCCTTGCTAGAAGCTATAATAATAGCAGATAGTATTGATTTTGTAGACTTACTATATGACAGACCCTGCTGCAAGTATTTTGCATAATTATGTTTCATCACTCCCACAGGCCTTAAATATAGGTGGTATTCTCATTGTAGGAATGAGAGATAAAGCTCAAAAGACAAGGTCAAATGGTTAGTAAATGGTAGAGTCAGAATTTGAATCCAGTTTCTTCTGGCTCCAGAACTAGTTGTCTTTACACTACAAGATAAAGTAGCATCCTGTATTCTTTATTTAGACATTGTAGACATGTACATGTAGAAACTTGGATTGGTGTATGTCTTAGTCATCTAGTGCTGCTATAACAGAAATACCACAAGTGGATGGTTTTAACAAAGAGAAGTTTATTTCCTTACAGTAAAGTAGCTTAAGTCCAAATTCAGGGTGTCAGCTCCGGGAGGCTTTCTCTCTCTCTTGGCCTTCTCATCAGTGTTCCCCCGGACTAGGAGCTTCTTGGGTCAGGGACCCCGGTCCAAAGGACACGCTGTGCTCCTGGCACTGCTTTCTTGATGATATGAGGTCCCCCTGTCTCACTGCTCACTTCTGTCTTTTATATTTCAAGAGATTGCCTCGGAACACAATCCAGTCTTGTAAATTGGGTCCTGCCTCACTAACACAACTGCTGCCCATCCTCCCTCATTAACATCATAGAGGCAGGATTTACAGCATATAGGAAAATCACACAATACCAGGAATCATGGCCCAGCCAAACTGATACACTGCATTTTTGGGGGGACATAATTCAATCCATGACAGTGTATGATTTTGTTGCGTCTATTCTCAACAACATAAAAAATATATAATAACAACGATGTAACTTTGGGGAGGTTTTATGGAGTCTACTCTCTGTAGCTATGATTTTTAATAAAATTTGTTGGGTGTGATGAAAAAATTAAAGGCAGGAAAGCACATAATATATACACTTAATATAATATATACGGTTCTATTTTAGAAATAGTGCAAAGTTGCCTTTTTAGAGAGTACAATTGATGTATCTCTTGCCAATCCCAAACCTCTGGGTAAACCCAAGTGTCTTTTTCTGATTCTTATTCTTAGACTACTGAACATACCTGGAGATAATTACATATTGGTACTGATTTGCTCTACTACAAATTTTGTTTTCCAGCTTTACTCGGCTCTCAGTGGCACTTAGAGTTATTTTAATCATCTAGTCATTTCCTGTTACATCCTCTACAACTACTGTTTCAAACTTTTCATTCTTCTTAAGCTTCCAATCCTACCTACCCTACTCTACCTCACTCTTAACAGATAATCTCTTACCTCATCTAGAAAACGGAGAACTTTATATCCTGAAATCTGTAGCTTGTCTTTCTTTGATCTTCTTAAACTCTGATTTACTTCATGTCCACCCCCAGTCTTCCTGTGTCCAAATTGATCAGTCCTTTGAGGATAGTCAAGTTTCTTAATAGCCATCTGTCTGTCCCAACCCACAAACTACGTGTAATCTTTCCCTTCCCTGAATGTCTGTCTTCCATAGAATTTATCTGGACTTCTGTGGCTGTTTTACTTTCTAGTAATTTCTAGCTGTTTTATTTACAAGTTTACTTCTTTTCTAAGGTCTTTGAGGAAAAAAAAATCCATATCTAACCTATCTTTATGTTTCTCACTGCCTACTACGTAATATGTTATTAGATTTAAGGAAGACTTGACAGAAGTTATTATAATTATATGTTATATTGAACTGTGCGTAGGTCTCATCCCCTAAAAAAAATTTTAATTTATTATTTCATATTAATTTATATCAGGAAAGAAAAATGGTCATTGTGCAGTTAAAAATGTTTTTGTTTTGTTACAGGCAGCTGTTAAATCTAAGAAAGCTACAGATACCTACAAAATCTATGTGGAAAAATATGCATTAGCAAAAGCTGATTTTGAACAAAAAATGACAGAAACAGCTCAGGTTGGTATTTTTAAAGCTTTGAGTCTAAATATTGACTTTATCAGTCAGAGAAACAGAATGTTTATATTTGTATATACCTATTAATTAATAGAATTTTTCAGTCATAATTTTTTGTGTTAAAAAGTTAAAATGCACAATCTCAGTGTTAATAGCATTTAAAATAAAATAAATAGTATTTAAAAAATACACATCTTATTTTGAGGTTGAGGACCAAGATGCAGAAATTACAGTGTTGTAAGAGATTTATTCAGGTAAATTGGAAGAGGCTGTTTAAAGATAACTCGGAAGAATGAGGGTATTAGAAGATGGCTGACATCAAGGTAGAAATTAAGAATAGAAAGAGCAAGGAAAAAAAGTCAACTACATGGAAACTGAATAATATCCTGCTTACACATCACTGGATAATAGAAGAAATCAGAGATGGAATCAAAAAGTTCCTAGGGACACAGCAAAGGCAGTCCTCAGAGGACAATGTATAGCAATAGACGCACATATCAAAAAAGAAGAAAGGGACAAAATCAAAACATTAACTACAGAACTCAAACAAATAGAAAGAGAACAGCA